ACAGATCAAATTCAACGCTCCTAATTCGTTTTCTTGGTAGTTGCTGTCGTCACTTTGGCTGGTTCCCTGTAGTACAGGAACACGAATGAGAACAGCACAACGCCTACCATCATAGAGAATGATGATGCATAGTACGGATAAGCAGATCTGATGAATCTCTCGTACTGAGTGTGCAGCAATGGACGAACAGATACCTTTGAAAATTTTTATTAAAACAGAAAACTGGGTTGAAAAAAGAAAGATGTACCTGTTTCACATCGTTCAGATGAGTGTAACCTATTCTGTTGTAGTCCACGAGGAACTTGTACACACCGTACACATCAGGGAGCTTGAAACGAGTAGAGAACCGGCCATTCTAAATCGATAGAGACATCATGAACAAAGGTGACCCACTTGGTACTCAGTGCAAGTATCAAACCTGGTTGTTGAGATTAATCCTCACGAAAGGATCAATTCGAACAAACTCAAGCTGAACGTCTTTCGCATTGAATGGACGCCATTTGCCATCATGATACTCTTCTATCTCAATCGCATATTCCTATAATAAGGAGACAATATTGTACAAATCATAGACATTTAAATTTAGACATTTTTCAACACAATAACTTACAACTTCATCCAGTATGGTATACTCCCTTGGAAGGATCTTGCTACTTCCAACCAGATGATGCTCGACCTTCTTCACGCGTAGAACACCATTTTCATTCAATACCCACTTTGAGAGGGCAGTAATCAGTTGCAGATTTCCTGATCGAGTAGATCTGGAAGTTAAATTCTAGAAAGATGTTTGTTTGAGAAAAAAAATCATTTGCGTGATACAGTTAGTGATACTGTGTGCTTTTTCGAGAGGCCAAAAAATTGAAAAGCAACTCATTCACGAAACGATGAAACACAATTAAGCTGAGAGCTGTATTTATCGAGCTGCGATCAAATAACACAAATCGCCTGTAATTGAATATAAACTGCTCTCGCCCACTGCTAAGAATTTTGGCTCGCGTCTCCTCTTTCCTTTCATCCACCCTCTGAAAACTTTTCAGCGCTCAACACCAATTAGGAAGGGAAGGGCGTTATTTTAGCTTATAAACACAATTTCTGATTTAAAGCAATTAAATTAAACTCAAAGTTATTGTTTTCTTCAAACAAAATGCAGTCTCTAGAAATTCCTACAATTTTTTCGAGACATTACATCGCAAATACAATCCAGTAATATCTACTTTGTTACAATGAGTGCTGGCACCAATACAGACTACTACACGATAGGGATCTATGAATCTACATATATCCCATGCACTTATAAAAGCGAACTCACGAAGAGATAATCAACGCCTACCTACGCCAACAATAAATTAGCGTTATACGGGCAATAGCACCTCGGTAAACTTGACTCGAACATACAATGACAGCCACCACTCATAAAGAACTGAGCTAAACATGCGTGATAGCGCATTAAAGAACCCACAGTGACATCCAAGTAGTTATGGGAAAGGAGAAGTATTAGGTTTAACTACCCGCCAAAATTTCCCCTAACCTCTGGCATTCATAGCATATGTATAACAGTTTCACTTCAGCAAAATTAAGACTAGCAGACATCTAAACTTCAAAAACGTGAAACCTACGATTCTCCTTTGGCAAACTGGTGCACATGTGCGCTAACGAATGCATCTGAGAACATATCCAAAGATCCAGTGAACACAATACGAGCATTATTGCGAGCTTGTACTGCTCCAA